CCTTCCGTGTGTGGTGCCTCTCTAAGCCTAGGGGAGGCTCAAAGGAGAGTGAAAAATGCGTTTGAACTGGTGGCTTGAAGGTCACGGGTGGCTTCGGAGGTGTCTAGTAGGGCAGTGAAAGATGCACAGTGTATGATGGGGTGGAGGCCAGTTTCAGAGCGGGGAGACTTCAGTTTATGTGACCGATGTAGGCCCCAGATGCAGGCATTCTCTCTTATAAAACTCCAGCCAAAAAGCAGTAAAAGATCCTTGGAAGCTTTGCCCCCAGGACAAGAGTGGGTGGAGACGAAGCAGCTGCAGAAAGTGATGGGCATTCAATGCTGGAAACTGGAAAGCAAAGAGCAGCTACACACATAGGTACTATGGACAACTGGGGTGGGCCGGCGACACTAAACTGATGGATTCGTGATGCAGAGACCTTGAAATATGTAAAGCTGGGTGCATCCAGCTACTGCTGAGGCTGGAGATTCAAGACGGAGATGGAAACACTGTGTGGAAAATCTTTAAAAAGAGCCCCTTCGCCAGGCGTTAGTGGCGTATGCCTTTAATCCCAGCACTCGGGAGGCAGAGGCAGGTGGATCTCTGTGAGTTCAAGACCAGCCTGGACTACCAGAGCTAGTTCCAGGACAGCCTCCAAAGCCACAGAGAAACCCTGTCTTGAAAAAAAAAAAAAAAAAAAAAAAAAAGAGCCCCTTCTCCATTCATTCCAGCTTGCCTTCATGCTGCAGAACACCTGAAGTCAGACTCAGTGAACAGCTGCTTTACAGGACATTGGTAGCCTGCCTTTGAAACGTTCCCCCAACCTGACAAGGACTTGGAAGATATCCTATGGAGAAATTAAGTGGCTTGAAAAGAAGGCTCTGCAGATATGAGTGTTTGGAGGGTCTCCAGGGAAATGCCTGGGCCCTGCTTCATGGCTCTATTCAAAAAGCATTCTAGTGAGCAAGCACGGTCCCCACAGACAGGGCTTCCAAGCAGCATCTCAGCACATCTGTTACTCGGCGGAAGACTCTCAGCATCACATGGATGCTGAAGGCAATGAGCAGATCCTCGAGACTCATGAAGATGCTGCAGCCTGAAAAAGAGACATCAAGGCAGCAAAGGGCCTGGGAAATGAAAAACAGGGAAGCAGGAAAAAGTTAAACATTAAAAGAAGCATTAAAAGATAAAATCGAGAGCCGGGCGCAGTGGTGGTGCAGGTCTTTGATCCCAGCACTTGGGAGGCAGAGGCAGGCAGATCTCTGTGAGTTTGAGGCCAGCCTAGTCTACAGAGCGAGTTCTAGGACAGGCTCCGAAGCTACACAGAGAAACCCTGCCTTGAAAAACCAAAAATAAAATAAAGTTGAATAATTCTCCAAGAACAATGAAAAAAGAGAAAGGAGACAAAAGATAGGCAAAATGGAGACTCAGTCTGAGAGGCTTAGTGATCAGTGGGGATTCTGGAGTGATAATAGAGACAATCGAGAAGGAGAAGAAATTATCCATGAGAAAAAAATTGTTTTTGAGCAAGTTGATGTCTGTTGTCTGGCACAGTAAGATTGACACTGGTGTGAGGTTTCAGAGAACAAGAAAAATGGAGGAATTCGTAAGAGTTGCCAGAGAAAAAGAACTGGAAAGGTCACATACAAAGAACTGGGGAGTCAGAATCATTTCACTCTTGTTCACAAAACTCTGAAAACTAGAAGGAAGCAGAGACATCAGACATCCGAATGAGAGGGGTTTAAGTGCCACAAACCAGTACACAGCTGAGCACCAGGCAATGCCAACAGCCAGGGTAGAAGAAAGGCGTGCTCAGGCTTGCAGCTTTTCAAAGATTTCAGCTCCTACACATGTATGTCTTAGGAAGTTCCTGGAGGGTGTGTTTCTGTGTGTTGAAAGGGTGAATTGAGGAGGAAGAAACACAGCTCAGGAAAAGGGATTCCAGCACCTGAGAAATGAACAGGGTGTTCCTGGTAACAAGACGAAAGGCTGGCGCAGTGGTGCAGAGTAGGTCACCTGGTCACAGCAGGAGGAGAAAGGGCCCTGTGAGAGGTGTTCTCAGAAGGGAACCGTCATCAGTAGGTTACTAGACTAGTTGGGGTTGATTGACAGGATACCAGCAGTTCTGTCAGAAAGTTTGAGTAAGCATTAGTAATTAATACAAATAAAATGAAAGTGTTACTTAATAATTGATTTTATTTTTATGTGTGTTTGTGTATGCACATGTGGGTGCAGTACCTGTGAAGACCAGAAGAAGGCACATGATCCTCAGAACTCTAGTTAGTGGGTGGTTTGAACCACCCAATGCTGGTTCTGGGAGCTGAACTCTAGTTCTTTATAAGAGCAGCACTGAGCCTGAACGAGTTGCTATAGTAACCACCTCACTATCTGTATGTTTCTGATAACTCAGATATATGCAATCTCATCTCTGAGAAAGAAATTATTTGGGCTGAGGAGATGGCTTATTGTGTAAGATTGCCTTCTGTGCAGCATGAGGACATGAATTCAGATCCCCAGCACCCACATAAAAAGCCAATTACTGATTGTAACTCCAGCACTGTGGGGGGCAGAGAAAGGAGAATTGTTAGGGCTTGCTGGCCACTAGGTTCAGAAAGAGAACCTGTCTCTGAGGAATAAGGTAGAGAGTCATAGAGCAGACATACAGCATTCTCCTCTGGTTTCTATGTATACATAACACATACACACACACACACACACACACACACACACACACACCCTTTTGAGAGCTAGGGTCTCAGGCTGGTTTACACTATGTAGTAAAGAGAGAGAGTGACCTTGAGTTTCTGATTCTCCTGTCTCTACCTCTCTCTCAAGTACTGGGATCACAGCCTTGTGCTACCACACCTAGTTTGTATGGGTGTTGGAGAATTGAACCCAGGACCTCCTGCATGTTAACCTCTCTCTTTTTTTTTTTTTTTTTTTTTTTTGGTTTTTCGAGACAGGGTTTCTCTGTGGCTTTGGAGCCTATCCTGGAATTAGCTCTTGTAGACCAGGCTGGTCTCGAACTCACATAGATCCTCCTGTCTCTGCCTCCTGAGTGCTGGCGTGGGCCACCACCGCCCAGCTTTAATCAAGCTCTTTACCAACCAAGCTACATCGCTCACCATCACTGATCAGCATTTATAAAAATGTCACAAGGGCTGGGTTTGGTGAAGTACATCTTTAATCCCAATACATAGAAGGCTGAGGCAGATGGATTTCTTTGAATTCCAGGCTACCCTGGTCTGCATAGTGAGTTGCAGGCCAACCAGGAATTCAACCTGTCTTAAAAAAAAAAAAAGAAAAAAGATGGTGGTGCCACAAATAGTGTCACAAAAGTCTTGAAAAGTCGTCTAGGATAGGAGCGGGGCTTGGTGAACAAGCAAAGAGGCCTGGGTTCAATCGCCACTGGCACCACAGCCAACACACACTCGCAGTTGGCTCCACCAAGAGCAGACACAGCCAGGTGTGACTTCTGTGTGCTTCAGAGCAGAGACTTGAGGAGGTCAGGTTCTGGAAGAAGGAGTTAGACAACAAGCTTGAACAGCTCGTGCATGAGACGGATGATCTGCTCACCTACAAGGTCCGCCTGGAGAGATCCCTGGAGAGCTTCAAGGAGCCCCTGCATATCACAGAGAGGTGCCTGGCCTACAGGTGAGCAAACTGTTGTGTGAGACTCAGTGCCAGGGGGCAAAAGCTGACTGCGCTAGCCCATGGGTGGAGCAGGCAAACTGGCAGGTGTTCTGTTGAAGCTGGGATGGGGCCCGCGGTGCCTGTGGAAGGGACACTGCATATGGTTCATGCCTAAACTCTGCTGTCCTCTAACTAAAAATATGTTAGGGCTCAGCTTTCTGTGAGTGTCAAAGAATTAGAAAGCCATAAAATTAATCTTAAATAGTTTCTCCTATTATAGACTAGCCTGGGAGACACAGGAAGACCCTGTCTTAAAAATCAACCAATCAGGCAGAGCCAGCCAGCGACCAAACAAACAAAAATCAAACAAACCAAAGAGCGGGGAATGTTCATGTAGGGTTTCAAGGTCAGGTTTCTGCGCGTGTTGTGGATATTTTGAAGCGG